CTGTCTGACGCTTGCGCACGATATTTTCGCCACTAGCATATATACTGACCTGCGTCTCACTCCATGGGCCGACGGGAGTGCCCCCTCTCGGAGCACCCTATTGCGCCAGGTGGGAAAGAGGCTTATTTACCTAAATATCCGGATACCGGACTTATATATACCTATAATAAATCCCTTAATATAATAGGGTATAGCGATTCTAGCTAGAGCGATATATTAGAAGATAGAACTTCTACCTCTAGATATATATTCTACTTAGGAATTAATAACTCTATAAGCTAGGTTTTAGCTAAATAAAAGGTAATAGCTTTATTTACTTATAAAGCTAAATATATAGCCTTATACGAAGCCTTTAAAGAAACTATATATATTTTTTCTATTTTTTTAGAAATATCTAAAAGATTAGGTTTAAATAAACTTAAAATACTTACTTTATTAATAGATAATAAAAGAGCTAAGAAAATAATTAAAAACCCTAAATTCTATAAAAGGGTTAAGTATATAGATAGGTAATTTTATTATTACCGAAATCTATTAAAAGATAAGAAAATATAGCTTTTTTATATATATACTTAGTATAATATAGTAGATATACTTACTAAGGGCTTAAATAAGATAATTTATAATACCTTATATAGATATATATAAATAGGGAGTCTAAATACTATATTTATAGACTATAAATAGCTTAAATATAGTAAAGTATTTAAAATTAAATATTAAATAGGTTTTTTATCTTCGGATTTTCCTATTATAATAAGATAGGTTTTTTATCTTCGGATTTTCCTATAATAATATAATATATAGTTTTTATTTATTTTCTATATTATAGGGTTTTAATTTTTTCCTTATATATAATAATATTATAAGGTTTTATTTTTTTTTATCCTCTAAATATATATAAGCTACTATATCTATATACCTATATATATATTACCTTATAAAGGAGTATAAGAATTATAAGGGTTAGAGTCTTATAACTATTCTAATAGCTTAAATAAAAGCTAAACTATAACGATATATATATTATAAAATAGAGAAAAATCGTAGCTATAGAACGGTATAATTTTTATAATATTCTATAGAGCTATTCTATAATAATAAGCGTTTAAGTTCTCTTATACTCTATTAGCTAGAGCTTAAATCCGATTCTACTTCCCTTATAGGTCTAGAGGTAGTCTAAGCGCCTTATCTACGCGTAGCTATTAAGGGTTAGTCTATTATATATAGAGGGCACCCCCCGGATTTATTTTTTAGGTTTTTAGATCTTAATAATTATCTAATTTTAATTATATTCGTAAATCCCCTTTACGTAATAATTCCTATCTAATTTATACGTTCTTAATTATTAAGAACGGATACCTTCTAAGATACGCTTTACTCTTATTAGGATTAATCTAAGTACTTCTCTTAATTAATTATAACCTTCTTCTAATTACCCCTCGACCTACCTACCTTCGATCCGAATAAAAAATATACTATTTTATAGCTCTTATTAAGGGCTATAAGAATCTTCGATCTACTTCTCGACCTAACGTCTCCTTCTAGAGATATAGCTACTTTTATCTCTCTCTTCCTCTTATCTATTATTATCTCTTTATTCTATAACTAAGCTATACCCTCGGTCGTTGCCTAATACCTCCTATATTAATTATAATATATATTAATAATTAATAAATAGATAAATAATATAATAAGCTTTAAATAGTTTATAAAGATCTTTATCCTTTAAATATAAACTAAGGCCCTTAAGCTTAAATCTCTTTACTTCTTTATAATAGATAGTTATAGGAGTTATATATTTAATAACTTCTTATAAGAGTACTTCTAAGAGAATATCCTCTTTATCTTCTTACCTTTATATTCGAGCTATATTATATAGCCTCTTAACCTCTCTATATTTAGCTCCTTTAAGATAATATATAGGAAGTATCTTAAGAATATAATTTACTTTTTCGATATATTTCTTATTAATAAACGGAACTTCCTTCTCTATTATTAAAAGGCTAAGTATAATACTATTATATATAATAATATTATAAATAAATAGCGTAGAATTAGCTTATAGCTAGTAAATTTACTTTAGCCTCTCTTAAACTCTTAGATAATAGATAAGGGCTATCCTATACGCTTAGAGACCCCTTAGAAGTAATAGAAATATATAGACTTTACTTTATAAATACTATAAAGGGCGAAAGATCTATAATTAAGCTATTCTATACTATCTTAGATCTATATAATACTAAGGGCTTTAGTACGAGCTATATAGCGCTTATTTATAAAGGTAGGGAAGTCTCTAGATATTAAGGATATATAAATAGTAAAAGTAGGCCTCTAAATAGCTTAATTAAGCGCTTAATTAAAGGTATATAAGCCCTATAAGAAGACGAGGGTAGCCTAGGAGCTTAATTTAAGGTTTACTAATATCTAGGCTATTAAGGCCGCTTAATTAAAGGCGTAGGCCCTCTATATACCGTTAGTAACGCTTATTAAGTATTAGGAAGCTAAGTTTAAGTCTTAGTACTCGGAATTTCTATTAGAATAAGCCCTATTAAGTAAGTAATTAATATTATCTACTATTCTATGTTATTATTCGTTCGTCGATTTTGGTGCGCGGAGTTAGGGGGGCGTAGAGTTAGGGGTGTGGGACTTACCTACCAAAAAGGTATACATTCGGCTAGGTAGCATATAGCCAGACTTCTGCCACCTGTCGCCACGTGGTCAGCAGCTCCCCGTCTCAATATGAACTTGAAATGAACATGGTACTGGACGTACATCATTTCAGATGATCGTCACGGGTGAGGACAATCAAACAAATGGGCCTCTTGGATTTCTTATCATGTGCTCATCCAGCAAAACTTGTGAACACCACGCACGGTCAAAGCTGGTCCAGTGGCTTCCATCAGCACTCTCAATCGAGGTGCATGCATTGTTGCGTTGTTGCCCCGCCTTCTTCTGATACCTCCTCTTCGAGTCCACCTAGCCGGACTTCGGGGAGCCTAGGCACCTGTATTATTAATCGTCACTCAAGTGATGCACCATCACGTCTTCATGCTCTCCATGATTCGAATGGCGCATTTGTAGACAATGATGGTATCATTCGTCATCTCAGTAGCCTTCCGATTTGCCATATATCAAGCCTTGCACCTGGAGCAACGTTGAGCGACCAACAAGTCAGACCTCTACCCTTTCACCCCTCATCGACGGCCAACCTTGCTAACCTCACTTCCGTCCATCTTCTTGTGCCCACAACCTGCGTAATCGCTGCGTACCAACATCAGTATGGCGTCCAAATCCTTCTATGCCGTGATTGCTGGCGCTGGCACCGGCACGGGTAAGTCATCTTTGAGCCCTCGTGCTCAGCCAGTCGTACTGATCACTCTTCAGGCCGGGCTGCCGCAGTTCGCTTTGCCAAATCTTACCCAGTCGTTCTTCTTGCACGCAAACCCGAAAGCTACGAAGACATTGTCAAGGAGATCAACGAGTCCGGCGGCCAGGCCATCGGGATCACCACGGATGCCACTGACCCCAAGGCCCTGAGCCTGGCCTTTGACACCGTAAAGCAGAAGCTGCCTGATTCAAAGTTGGCTGCCGCTGTCTACAACGTCAATGGCGGCTTCTCCCGGGTACCGTTCCTCGAACTCAAGCTCGAGGATCTGGACGACAGCCTTAACGCCGCACCGTACGTTCTCTTCAGGCCGCAGATTGCGGAGAATGGGGCATGACTGATGTTCACAGACGCGGCTTCACTGTATTCGCTCAGAGGACTCTGCCGCTGCTCCTTGATTCCGTCTCAGATTCACCTCACCCGCCGACCCTGATCATCACGGGAGCTACAGCATCGGTGAGAGGATCCGCCCTGTTCGGGGGCTTTGCCGCTGGCAAGTTCGCCCTTCGCGCCCTCGGCCAATCTCTTGCTCGGGAGTTCCACCCCAAGGGCGTCCACGTTGCCCACGCCATCATCGACGGTAGCATCGACACACCGTGGGGCAAGGCCTACGAGGCAAACAACGGTGCGCCTGACGGCAAGATCAAGCCAGAACAAGTAGGTGACATCCATGCATCATGTGGAGACCAAAAAACTGACGGACCCTTACCTTGAATCCAGATTGCGGAAGATTACTGGCATCTCCATACACAGCACCGTTCAGGCTTCACACAGGAGATTGACACCAGGCCTTACGTAGAGAAGTTCTGAGACGCAGTACCGCCTGTAGTGAAATAGTGCGTCAAACTGTGTGTAGTGTGCGACCTGAATCAAGATATTTTGAACCATTTCCTCAGAAATGGCAATGATATACGATGTCCTCTGCCGGGAAATAGTCATACTTCATTCGTCGTTGGCGAGCGGTAGACAGGTTCGCCGACCTGGATGCCATCGCATCGTGCCGCTCCGGCCGTCGTTTTGCAGTTAAACCCGTCGTAACGGGTGCTCGGAATCGGCGTTGTGCGTCGCGCTATCGGCTCAGCAGGTGTTCTAATAACATGAGGTTCGAGTGTGCCATTTTCAAGACCCGGACGCTTCGACGACGGGTGCCGTTGACTCCAGCATGGCGCCCACAGCCGTGCCGTGGAGAGCAGCCACACGTTCAGCCTCCTTTCTTTCCCGCGCAGCCTCCGTCTCTGCTCGCAACTTCTCCATATTCCAGGCGTCGTTGTCATCATCGTCCTCATCGCCGGACTCGTCATCATCCTTCCAGGTACCGCTCTCGAACATCGCACGACCAGTGGCCTCCTTGGCCTTCTTCGCCTGCTCCTCGGCAGCCTTCTTGTCCAACCTCTCCTTCTTCCACTTGGCAAAAGACTCTGGCGTTACTGGTGTAAGGGTGCCTGTGAGCTTGTGTCGTTCGGACTCCAGGAACTCCTCAAGGGTGAGCGTCTTCAATGGTGACTTATCCATCAAAGCCTTCTCAGCCGCTCGCTGCTCCTTAGTCTTCAACACGAAACTAGGGGGGTGTTAGCTAAACGTTCTGAGTGGATGAAATGCGCGACGTACCCTGGCGGTAGAGCGTGCTTGTACATGCACTTGTCGCCCCCATTGGGACAGACCCAGAACCAGCCGTACTTGCCCTCCTCGATGGCCTCGACGAAGAACTTGCAGACCTTGTCCGTGGTCGTCTTTTGGTTTCCCTTCTTCGACAAGACGACGGAGCGGAGCTTCTCTTCATCCCACTCCGGCAGATGTCTCGACCTTCTTCTGCTCGTCCTCCTCGGCTCTGGTGTCGGTGTACAGACTCTTCTTGTTGACTTTGCGCTCGTCTTCGACATTGTGGGAAAACTTGCACTTCTTGCCCTTCTCGCAATTGCCCTTCTTGAAGAAAATGCACACCACGGTCTTGGGGTCGACGCCGAATGGGACTTTCTGGATTTGTGCGGGCTTGTTGACCAGGTCGGCCAGTTCCCTCTTGGCTTCCTCCGCAGCCCGCTTCTCCTTCTCGCGCTGAGCCTTCTCAGCCTGTTTGCGCTTCTCCTCCGGCGTGCCGCCAGACTTGGCCATTGCGCTGAGCTGAGCAATCTGCTTCTGGGCCGCGCCACCCTTCTTATTCTTCATGCCGAAGGTCTTGTCGGCCACGGCCTGCGCGCCCTTGGCCTTGGCAGGCTTCTCAACGTTCTTCTTGGGCGGCATGATGTCGGTTGGGCGCTTCCAGTGTCGAGTAGTCTACGATCGAGCAGGGGAGCTCGAAGGGTGGTGACAACCAAAGCCGTCACAGACGAAGATGTCGATAAATGGTGGGGGTTTGGCGAAAGGAAGAAAGTGGGACTTGACAGAAATCCAGGATGAAGTCACGCCAGGATGGTCACGTGTATGGCGGGGAGTGTGTGGGAGAGAGAACACTATCTGACGGGTGCCAAGCCAGCTCACTGGCCTTGTCAGTTACGTATGTCGGTACGTACCTTCAATCGAAGCTCCAGTTGTCCAGTTCCACCCCAACCGGCAACAGCAATAGTACCAGCTTGCATTCGGCAACCTACCACATTCGCGCCAGACGTCGAAACATCCCACTTCTCCGATTGACCAAGCGTGTGAGTCGCCTTAACATCGAAATGATAAGGAGGACTGGCGGGCAAATGCAGAATTGTCTCTGACCGTGCCTAGCCCCAGGAGCCTCCCGATACCACGAAGACGCGTGAGGACACATTTCAGACCAGCTATTCACGATGATCTCCGACGGCGAACTGTACCAGCTAGCGATTGTTCTGGGCTCTAGTGCGATGGCCCTGATTGTTGTGTACCACTACCTGGAGGTCAACGCAGAGGATGAAAAGGCCCCCGCGGTCGCTGGAGCGCAGTCTACAAAGCAAGCAGCCGCATGAACGACATCGTCAGGAGGTCCAGATCACAGTCGAAATGGAAGGTTGAAGAATAAAGAGGACAGTGTACGATACCTCGGCGGGGTGTATGGACGAGAGAATGCCAACCTGCCGCGGGCCGCAATCTGTTGACGGAGGCGCTGGAGGTTGGTGGGATGCCCATACGACACATCCTGCTGACACTGGGGTTTGAACACAGATGCTAGGCAGATGGACACGATTGGGACCAGGCGAAGCATTCCCCGTTGGTTTGGGGGGAGTACGATCATCCACGGCTAGGTGGTTCTTTGGTGACAATTCTTCGTTCAGGGTCCATCCGGCCGAGAAAGAAATCCAGACTTGATACCCCTATTTCCACCTTAGTCCTTGCTCTTTGTGCACTTTCTGGAGAGACATGATAGTCCCTTAATCAAGTTGGTGACCATACTGTCCTTGAGTCGGAGGCCTTCAGGCACCGTCAGAGCTCTTGAAGCCAGGTCGCTGATCAGCCAATGGGCGAAAGCAGTACATGCCAGTCGCTCAGGTTCAGGGGTCATCCCGAAGTGGTTTAGCGTGCCACGCCCAAGCCGGTGTCGTTGTTTTCTCAGGCGCGACGCCCCCAAGGCCCCAGCCCAGGCAGAAAACGCTGGTCAAGTGCCCATCCCGCTCTCCTTCCTCTCGTCTCCTCCATCTCTCTCCTTCCGACGTTCACCACCATTACACTCCCATCAGCTACCGGAACGTAAACCAGACGCGCTTTCCACTTCTTTGTCACTCCGCTGCACTACCACTGCAGTTCTTTCATTCTTAAATTAATTCTTCGTCAACCGACCTGTCTACCGACTCGCGCAGGCAAATCGCGTAGGATCAGACATCCCACTTTCCTCTGACCAACACAACCCACATCTCTTTGCGCGTCCAGCTTTGAGCCATCTCGTACAGCTGTCTACCATCACTGCAGCTTTAGCAAGCAGGAACTCACATACCGACTCCCACAACAAATCACTCCATAATCGCCAACATGTCCGGCAAGCTTGACCAGTCTCTTGACGAGATCCTCACCACGCGCCGCCGCTCCAACGGCCCTCGCCGCCGCTCTCAGCGCCAGGCCACCACCACTGGCCGTCCCACCGTTGCCGCACCTGTCGGCGGCGTTCAGAAGAACCCCAGGAACGCGCGCGCCCCGGCCAACAAGCCCACTCCGGCCAAGGCCGCTCCTCACACTGGTGACAGCAAGATCATCGTGAACAACCTTGTACGTTCCGCCATATCTAACCTCTACCGAACCCGACTGACACCCTGCAGCCCAAGGACGTGAACGAGCAGCAAATCAAGGTATGTTGCCGCTGAGGCTACCTTAGTATTCGGACACAGTTCGACATGTTTTCCCTCGCTCGCACACCCTCCGAAAGCGTTTCAGCGATGCGTGTTGCTTCGGCTAGAGACGCCAAAAGCTGTTCCCTGGCCCCAAGCAAGATGCCGCAAGTCTCCTCTGCCGCGCACCACGAAACTTCAGCCGTGTCGTGCCGCTAAGAGTTGAGCACGTCCCTGTCACGCCATGAATATCAGTTGCGTCCCGGTAGCCTGGTCAGCACCGTTGCAGCCTGATAAGCGATGACAAACCAAGGGATGTAGGCTGTTTGAGAGGACGCGAGTAACCCACGAGCGTGGCCTGCGAAACCTACCCGATCGAACGCTTGCTTAATCAAATCTGGCTTCACGTGTTGGCATGCAGCGAGCACAGCAGTTAGCAACAGTGAGCAACAGTGAGCAACAGTGAGCAACAGTGAGCAGAACAATGTGGCACGAGAGAGTCCATTCCCAGTGGTCTGAGGGAAGCAATGATGGAAGCTCGGTAGCTCCATTATTGGTTGCGAACGGTGCGCTTTCCATGGAGCATACATTTCAGTGGCGGCACGATACTCATCTTGGAACGAACATGTCGGCGGCTCCGAGGGCACTGTCAAAACTTGCGTCTTTCTCGCGGCGCTGGCAGTCTGTGGGCTTGAACGGACGATCCATGGCTCAAAACGGCTGCTCACTGCTCTGCTCGCTGGACAAACTTGTGTGATCGACGATCTCGGCTCTGCGGATTATTGCGACGGAACGCATACGATTATCTACGCACTTTGTTCGGAATACTGACATCGGACTCCAGGAGTACTTTGCGCAATCGGTCGGTTCCATCAAGAAGGTTGAAATCTCTTACGGACCCAACTCGGTCAGCCGTGGCATCGCCAACGTCTCCTTCAGCAAGCCCGATGGCGCTAGCAAGGCCTTTAACAAGCTCAACGGTCTGTTGGTTGATGGCCGCCCCATCAAGGTAAGCAAGCTCGATAAACTCCCCACAGTATGTCTGCTAACGCAATGGTCAGATTGAGATTGTCGTAGGCGCCTCCCAGGCGGCTAACGTTATCCCCCCCACCAAGACGCTCGCCGAGCGCACCTCGTAAGTGGACGAGCTATTACTTGCATGCTAAACACGTCTGACAATTTTCACAGCCAGCCTAAGTCGCAGGCCAAGGCTCAGCCCAAGTCCGCCGCTTCCAACAAGCACAACGCCGCGAAGACCGCCGGTGCTGCCGGCCGGGGCAAGAAGCCCCGTCAGGGCCGCACTGCTAGGCCTGCGAAGAAGACGGCCGAGGAGCTTGACTCCGAGATGGCTGACTACTTCGAGGCTGCTCCTGCTGGCGCTACTGATGCTGCCTCTGGCGCTGCCGTCCCCGCTGCGGCTGCCGCTGGTGACGCCCCCATGGATGAGATCATGTAGTGGCGCCGCATCGATGCAAATTCTTCATACGGTCCGGACTCCCCATCAGATTGACAACAAGAACGACGGGAGGGCAGTTTTTGGGCACGGTTTATTATTTTTCTTCCTTGGGTTGGTACAAGTAGAGCTGCGGCAGGGAAGGTTATGCCTGGTAGCTCGGACAGGGGCGAGGTACCCGACTGGAACGGATGGCTTTCACACTTCGTTCCGATTACACTTTCAGACATGAACAGTAGCAGCGCATGATTGTATTATACCAACAAACACCAAACTAAAGACGAGGGGAGAGCGCTACAGAGTAGTCTGGTAATATGAGCAATGATTTGGCTCGCATGGACGGCGATAGTGCGGCGTGCATGTCTTGAGGGGTCTGCTCAGAATATGAGTGATCAGCTACTTGTCTGCGACTGAACCCGAATGCCAGTCTGTGGCTTGTGTTCCTATGCCAGTCTGTGGCTTGTGTTCCTATGTCTAGTCAGCCACCCAGGTAGATATGCTCCTGACATCTGATTCCTATCCCGTACCCCAGTAAAGTACCAACATCTTTCTGACATGAATGTACGGCATCCATATGGTCAAACGTGGATTCCGACTGGTGAGGGCAAACTTTAAATACCCACCAGGGTGCTAGTTACTCCCAACTGCTGCTGCGTGTGTCAGGAAAAAGGAACATTGAACAACGCCCATTCATCACGATTTACAGAAGACAATCATTCAGCGTCCTGGCAGGTGAACTATTTGTTTTTTAAAAAATCATTTCTTTTGCTTTCATCAAGTCGACATTAAGAGGTGCTCGAGCGTCTACCGCGACCCTGCTCTCATATTTCGTGTCTGCATGGATGGGTATGATCGAAGGGGGGGATGGAGTTCTGTAAGAGAGACCATGGGGAGGTAGGACGTCGGCCAAGGGGGAGAGAACACAAGTTGAGGTAGATCGGGCGTCGGCCGGAGAAGGCTGCTTATTTCGCGGGCTCCTTGGCGGCGGCGGCGTCAGTGGTGGCGGCAGCAGCAGCGGCGGGCTTGCTGGCGGCCTCGTCGCCCTCGAGGGCGGGCATGTCGTCCTCGTCATCGTCACCCTCGTCATCGTCGTCGCCGTCAAAGTCGGCACCGCCCAGACCACCAGCGCCGAGCTTGGAGAAGTCGATGCCGCCGAAGTCGCCGCCGCCCATGCCGGGCATACCACCCATGCCGGGCATACCGCCCATGCCCTCCATGCCGCCCATACCGGGCATGCCACCTGTGGGAGGGAAAATTGAGTCAGCAATCATTGGTCGTGGATGTGAAGAAATTTCCTTGCCCAAAGTGTCTGGTGAGGATGAACTCGTCACTTACCCATGCCGCCAAACTGGGAGAAGTCCTCCTCGGGAGCCTCCTCCTGCTCGTCCTCGTCGACCCACTTGTCAAAGTTGGTCTTGAGGAAGTGGACCTTCTTGGACTCCTTGAGCAGGCGGGGCCAGTACTCCTCCTTGAGCTCCTTCTTCTGGAGCTTCAGCTCAATGTTCTTGCCCGTGTGGTTGACCTTGCTCTCCTCCGTGTCAATCTCGCCGTACAGCTCGAGGTCGAGG